TTGTGGCGGGCTGCCACAAATAAATCAATGTATGGGAAACACTGATCTAAATATAAAAAAATTAAATGAAACTTACCAGCTTGAACTCTTTCATTTGATCTGGGTGTCTTTAAAGTGTTTTGTTAGTTTGGTGCATTTCCTCCTTTTGATGTCGCCCCGTCTCAGTGCTTTTATGAAGAGAGAGCATCTGCGCTCCTTTCGGATAGCGCATCAAGAACCGGGTTGACCGGGTACTCGGTACCACCGGTACTTAAAAAAACCTGGTACTGTAACGTTTTCATTTTTTTTAGTACCGACTTGGTACCGAAGTACCGGGTCTTCTGACAACACTAATCACAATAATAATAACTAGAATAATAAATATTATATTCATAATGTATGCTTTTATTTTATCTTCATGATTATATTTTTATTTTTGGAGTATTGTGATCATTTAGTACACATAAAATGGATTATTTAATTTCCATTCCAATGGTACCTTATCGGTGGATCCATCTCGGAGGGCACTGACGAGCGCCTGGAGTCTCTGGATCTCTCCGTCTTTGATCTTAATGACCCGCACCAGTTCAGATTCGTGCTGACGTAAGAGTGTTTCTCGAACAATGTGGAGCTCCCGAAGTTTCTCCTCATGTAGTTTGGCTTTTAACTCAGTCACCACCAACGTGGACTTGTGCTGCTCAAGACGGACCTCCTGAGACTTATCCCTTTCCAGCTTACTGACCTGAGGAAATAGATGTAAACTTTACTATTTAAAACTGATGGGATTAAACAATGTATACAGTTGTGCTCATAAGTTTACATACCCCTTGAAGAATATGCAAAATGTTTATCATTTTCACAAAATAAGAGGGATCATGATAATTGCATGTTATTTTTTATTTAGTACTGTCTTGAATAAGCTATTTCACATGACGGATGTTTATATATACTCCACAATACAAAATAATAACTGACTTTATAAAAATGATCCCATTCAAAAGTTTACATACCCTTGAATATTAATACTGTGTGTAATTTCCTGGATGATCCATGACTGTTTTTATGTTTTTGTTCACGAGTCCATTGTTGGTCCTATGCATTTCAACTGCCTGCTGTTCTTCAGAAAAATCCTCCAGCTCCAGCACTTCAGAAGCTAAATAAATACATACATGTTTCCCAGAAGACAACATAAGGACAATTTACCCTGATCATCCAATTCAAAAAGTTTACATCCCCCGGCTCTTAATGCATCGTGTTGCCTTCTTGAGCATGAGTAAATGTTTTGACCTTTTGCAATTGTAATGTATGAGTCCCTCAATTGTCCTCAGTTTGAAAAGATGGATC